GCACCTACTGAATTATTACCAGTTAATCCACAAAATAATATTAGAAAAAATCAACCAGAAGTAAAAGAATAAATTAAGAATGAGATTACACAAGAAGTTATTAAAGAAACCATTAAGAAACCCACAGCGACAGAACTATTAACCCAACATTATGAAGAACTGAAGCAAAAGAAAAAACAATATAAATCAGATAAAATAAATAAATTAACTTTATCAATGTTTTAAATAATAATCTAATTATTATATATAACAATTATGCTTATGATAAGTCATAGAAATGTCGAATTTAAAAGGACTCCACAAGTAGAACGTTCCTACGACTCAAATGATTTGTGGGGCGCTGCTTCAAGAAAGAATTATTTTAAACAATTAAAAGAAACAATAGAAGCGAAACAATCACAAGGAGCATAAATAAAGTATAGACATGATTTAGCTGAAAGCAACAGAACCGAAAGTTATAGAAAGGAGTTAGACAAGATAAGACGCGAGTTGGACAACACACGCTCACCAGATGGAATACAGACAACAGAACAACTCACAGCAAGAAAGAAACACTTAGAAGAAATGATTATGAATATTTCGGATTAATTTATTTTCTATATTAATTAATGATATTTATCATAGATAAATCTTATTAATTATTTATATAAATAAATTGTCTAAATAATTAATATATTATGATTAAATCAATAAATCGACTGAATACAACCAAACCACATGCCATAGGTTCATTAAAATCACAGCTACACTTAAGACCTTCTTATGATGAATTGTTAAAAGAAACATTAGTAGAAGATGAAAACCGCCCGTCAATTGAAGATGGAATAGATAGAAAGGCGACGAGATACAGATTAAACCAATATGGAAGTCAGTGGGACAACAAGGACAGCTTAGGATTGTTAAATCAGGAAACGATGAAAAGAAAGGAAGAATTAAGAACAGCAGAGACAACAGTAGAAGACTAACCAGCCGGTCTTCTTCAAAGTCCGCTTTTTCCACACCAGACAGTCCACTGACAGAATATGAAGAGTATGAAAATGATATTCAAGCATGATTTGAAGAACAAGATAGACAAGGCAGAGAAAAAAGGGAAAAACTCAGTCCAAGCATACACGAAGATTTGAAAAAAGCATCGTCACGTTCAATACCTGAAGGGGTAGTAGTTCATTCAATGACATCAGATGACGAACTGCCACCTTTAGAACCCATAGAGGAAACAGCAACAGCGAAAAAGGGTAAAGACAATGATGATGATAAACAAACAACAATTTCTGATACTGAAATAATGGAAATGCATGAAAAAGCAAACGAGTTGGAATTACAAAATGTCGAAAACGAAGAAGTTGATGACGAACAAATTTTCAAAAATTATTTGACTACTATAAAATGGATGTGGCCGGTGTATTTATCGAACACTCCGGGAACTATGATGGATAATATAATTTCAAAACTACATCAATTCAATGTAATAAATGCTGATAAATACGATGAGTTCAAAGAAGTATTAGATGAATATAACAATGCAAGCACAACAGAAAGAAAAGGACGCACTCGGTTAGAAACATATTACAAGGACAACGTTTATAACAAGTACTTCAAACAGAAACCAAGTTCATCAACTCAACAAAAAACAAGTCTATAATATTTAAATATGTCAGATAAATATTTTGGATTAAGAAGAAGGAACACTTTTGATGAAATGCTGAAAGAAGCGATGACGCACAGATTGAAAATTGAAATCATCCCCGAAAGACGGGCATTTGACACATCAATTAACGATATAGACTTTGACGATTTTGACCTTTCAAAATACGACAGGAGACTACGGTTGAATGCTAGGGTTCAAACTGATAAACAAGTTTTATTACACGAATTGACACCACACATGTTTGATGAAATACCGCCAACATCACATTTGTATGAAAACAATGAGGCAGACACACAAACAACGCGATATGTAGCAAAGGAGTTAGATGATGAACAATTCAGTGATGTAATTACAGACAAGAGTGAGGAAAATAGAAAGTCAGATGAACTAAAAGATGAACCAAAAGACGAACCAAAAGATGAAAAGCAGGAAGATTTACAAAGTCTTCATTTAACATCATCATCGTCAGCATCAACCGAGAAAGAGGAAGAGAAGAAAGAGGAAAGTCGAGAAATCAAGTCATTAAGAAATTTATTCTTAGGTGGAGAAGACAAGAGTGTGATTGAATTATTCAAACGTGACAAGAAGACATCCACACCATCAGAACAATCGCGAGAACAAGAAGAAGAACAACCGAGGGCTTCTTTCTGGTCAAGACGACAGGTTGAAGCAAGAAGTAGAAGCCACTCACCAGAAGAAAGAGCAAGAGGTAATCAAATGAACAGAAGACAATTAGAAACAAGAAGCAGGAGCAACTCACCCCAAGAAATAGCAAGAGGTAGTGAATGGACGAGGGAACAAATGGAAACAAGAAGCAGGAGCAGAAGCCCAGAAAGCACAAATACAAAAAGTAGCCGAGGCAAGAAGAAAAAATAAAACTACTTAAAGAGAAAACGTGATAATATAGTAAAAATGACAGGAATTTTCATTAATGGTAATAGAAAACAGATAATAACGAATGACGAATTTGATGTAATGGTTGAACTTATGAAAGCGGAAAACGACTTAGTCTTACAGAGGATGGGCGAGAAGGTTAGCGAGAGCGACGACCAACTAATGAGATGGAAGGACGACCAGAAGACCTACCACCAGAACTACTACAACAAAAACCTAAAACAGCCTTACACCTGCGAGGACTGCGGAAGGACGATATCAAGCAAGTCCAACCTATCCAAACACAAGAAAAGCAATGTATGCAATAAAAACAAAAGCCCCCCTTTATGAAGGGATAATTCATTAATCTTATTAAAACTCATTAATAAGATTAATGCGTTGAGTTTCAACCCGGAGCCCAGTTTCTCCAACAGGCAACCCCTAGCCAAAACTACTTAAAGAAATATTTACTATATATAATATAGAGTATAGATATATGGTGTCAGTGTCAGAAGAAAAAATCATAGATCTCATTATAAAAAGTCAACAAGGTGAACTAATACAAAAAGAAGGGAAACAATCACAAATACTCAAAATAGGAGACAAGACCTACAGATACAATAAGAACAAACCCGCTTCGAAGGTGTTGAATACCAGACTAAAGGAAGTGGCAAGAAGCGATGGCTACAGAAAATATAGTCTTCTAATGAAAGGGGCTAGCTTCATCAAACTCACACGAGGAAGACCCTTACAGGATTATGTCAAGCGTTTCAAATCCAAAATCAAAGATGAACAGCAAGCCTTCAAAGGCTACGTCAACACATATTCGGTCAGTGATATAAGATTGAAAGGAATGCAAGGCTTATCATACTTAAAGTATCAGAAGCAACGAATGGTAGAATTCCTTAACAGAAACCCAAATATGAAAATCATTGTCGAAGTGGATTTGTTCTTGAAGAACACTGACAACGAAGAGATACGACGAAGGCTGAGAAGCAGGAGATACAATGTCCATAACCCAGAAGAGATACACAGTGTTTTAAACAACATAGCCCACGACATAGAGGTTCAAATTGAGACAGCCGAATTCATTCAATCAGGTCTTGTTCTTCTTAAAGTTGGAAAGCTGGTGATAAGTTATGACAGATACAATCCTACCCGTTGCTCTTCTTATATTCCATTGCCCGACTGGGTGGCGAACAAAAGGGCTTGTATCAATATTAAAAACAATGATGAGTTGTGTTTCAAATGTTCTGTTCAATGTGGTTTTTACGAGCTATATAAAAAAGACCATCCCTGTGATATGTATCATTATAAGAAATATGTTAATGATAGTTTCATCAAGTGGGACAATATAGACTTTCATGTAGGCAATGATGAGATTGAACAATTTGAAGAACATAACAAACACATATCGGTCAATGTTTATCACATCAATCCTGATACCAATAGTAAAACCATTGTATTATACAAAAGAAGCAACAACCCCTAAGCACAACAAAAGATTGATTTAATAAAGTTGACTGGAGAAAATGGCAACTCGCACTATGTTTATATCAAGAACTATAACAAGTTGATGGGAAGCCAAACCAACAAAACAGGCAGACCAAAGTATCACTGTAGGACGTGCTCACACGGTTTCAAGTCAGAAGAGTTGTTAAAACAACACGAAGAACAGGGTTGTCTAGCGGTTGAAGGACAACAAATAGAAATGCCAGAGGTAGGAGCTACCATTGAATTTAAGAACCATTTTAAGAAACTGAAAGCGCCTTATGTCATATATGCAGACTTTGAATGTCTAACAGTACCCATTGATGTTAAAAGCAAATCGACAAAAGCGACAACCACATCATATCAAAATCATCGCCCTTGTGGTTTTATGATTAATGTAGTCAATGCCATCACTGGAAGCAGTGAGCCCTATTTATACAGAGGCGAAGATTGTATGGATAAGTTCGTTGAGAAAATGAATGAAGTCAGAGATGATGCAATAAAGAAAATGAAGGAAGTGAAAGAGATAATCATGACTGAGGACGATAACACAGATTTTGACACTGCTACTAAGTGTTTCGTTTGTGGAAAGGGCTTTCAGGAAGGGGATAAAAAAGTTAGAGATCATTGCCATTTTACTGGTAAATATAGAGGTTGTGCTCATGATAATTGTAATCTTGCTTTTAGTATGAGATATTACAAAATTCCTGTCTTTCTTCATAACCTTAAAAACTATGACGCTCACTTAATCATCAACAAGGCACACGAACTGAGCAAGAATGCTAAAATCGATTGCATCGCACAGAACAGCGAGAAGTTCATAACCTTTGGTGTTAAAAACCACAGTTTTAGCTTCTTATCGTCTTCGTTGGATAAGTTGGTGAAGTT